TAGGGAAATTTTTGGAAATTTAATTGAAGAAGAGAAGAGACTGGATTTATACCCCGCCCACTCAGAGTCTCAGAGCAGTTTACAAACTCTTTTCCCTTCCCTTCCCCCCCAACAGACACCCTGTGAGGTAGGTTTGGGCTGAGAGAGCTCTCTTGAGAATTGCCCTTGAGAGAACAGCTTTGAAAGAACTTGTAACTGACCCAAAGTCACACCAGCAGCGGCATGCAGAGGAGTGGGGAATCAAACCCAGTTCTCCCAGATTAGAGTCCATGCACTTAACCACTACACCAAACTGGCTCTCTTATTGAATAATAAAGTATATTTTTACCTGATTTTGCACCATCGGCCTTGGCCCATTTTGTTTTTAAAAAAATCTCATGTTCTTATCGGAATATAGCTTGGTAGCGAGAAGAGAAATGCCACTAATCATTTATTGGCACAACTTTGGCCTTGCACAGATTGAGATTTGGTTAGACCTAAGTGGACGAATGAACTGAATCTCAATCGGTACGAGCGGAAGTAGTTCGGATAAATGATGAGTGGTATTTCTCTTCTCGTGATGGGATCGCATTCCCCTAAGAACATGAGTCACGAATGTTCCGGCTTGATGGGAACATCTGCATCTAGATGGAGCTTTCCGTAAGAATGAGCAGGCCTGTAGCTACAGTGGGGCATTTCGGGGCCTGGCCCCCCCACCTTCCTGCCGAGGCCCCACAACTTCCATCTAGCCAAGACCCCCATTGCCACTACCCCTTCCCCAAGCATGACTTGTTTCCACAACTGACAATAGTGCCCCCCACGACTTATTTAAAGGGCCCCCGAATTACAAAATCCTGGCTACAGGCTTGGGAACGAGTTTGAGAACAAGATGTTATCGTGTCTGTGACTCTGATACGAGGACTCACGGTTATTTGACATGGGACCTGGGAAAACTGTGGCCCCATGCCAAATCAGGCTCCCACGGCACTATTAAAAGAAATTCCCGCCAGGAACTTCCACTTCCAAAATGGTGTTGTGTCCCTGTGACAGACCCACAAATGCCTTAACGTATAGCTGGGCACTTAAGAATCTGTTAGGGACTCCATGCCTCTTCTCCACACGTCCACTGATTCAGATCTAAAGGGTAAATCACATTGGGTATCGCCTACCTCACCCTGAGCTGGATGGGCCAAGCTAACCTGATCTCGTCAGATCTCAAAATCGCAGCAGGGTTGGCCTGGGTTAGTACTTGGATGGGAAACCACCGAGGAAGCCCAGGGCCACTGTGCAGAGGCAGGCAAGGGCAAGCCACTTTGGTTTGTATCGTGCCTTGAAAACTTTATGGGGTCACCATTAATCAGTTGTGACACACACATACATATTGCTTGCCTGCAGGATTTGGATAAGCTTGCATATATGCAGGTCATGTTGAGAAGGGGATCACCAGATGCAAGTCATGTTGAGAAGGGGATCACCAGATGCAAGTCATGTTGAGAAGGGGATCACCAGATGCAGGTCATGTTGAGAAGGGGGTTACCAGATGCAGGTCATGTTGAGAAGGGGGTCACCAGATGCAGGTCATGTTGAGAAGGGGGTCACCAGGTATGAGTCATGTTGAGAAGGGGGGGTCACCAGATGCAGGTTATGTTGATTTTGGGAGCTGGGCTCTCTTTGCTCTGTGTATCCCTGTTATCTATTGGAATCTGATGGCATTGCTCCCGTTTCCCTCTTGACAGTGTATCAAAGAAGGGAAGGCGACTCCTGCTTATACCTACAAAGTGGCCAACAGTCACCCTGAAATGGAGCACAAGGTGAAGCCAAGAAAGATGTTATTTCACAACAAGCATCGCTACCAGAAAGTCGTGGTCCACTCAGTCCAGGCAGTAGATAACCGGACGTACAACGTCCTTTACTTGGCTACAGGTATTGTGCCTTCAGCTTAAAATAACTGATGTGATGTGTTAAGTCCTGGATGTAGATCTGGGTTTGAATCCCTGCTCAGCAACAAAGCTTGTTGATCTTGCATTGTTCAATTTCTCTCTTGTTGAATCGAGTTAGCCACGACTGTTGTAAGGATAAAAGGGAAGTGTAAAATGTTTACCTGCCCTGAACTTTTTGGAAGAAGACAAAATCAATAATATAAAATGGGTCTTGGGATCTCTGTGGCAACGAATGTACTCTTCTGTGGAAAATTTATGTTCATTTTTTTAAAATGTAGGAACACAGAGATTTATGGGCAGGGAGATCCTTTTTTTTTAATAAATCCCCCCCCCCCTCCCCACTCAAGAGGAGATGACTCCTTGACCTGCCACAGGGACCATCTGAAAACAGTGTCAGAGGGTTGCTATGCTGAACTGCAGTAGAAGAATACGATTCAAACCCAGTAGCACCTTAAGAGGTAAAGGTTCCCCTTGCTCAAAAGCCAGCCGAATCTGACTCTAGAGGGCGGCCCTCATCGTTTCCAAGCCGAAGAGCCAGTGCTGTCTGAAGACGTTTCCATGGTCATGTGGCCGGCATGACTAGATGCCAAGGCGCACAGAACTCTGTTACCTTCCCACCAAAGCGGTACCTATTCATCTACTTGCAGTGTCTTGCTTTCGAACTGCTAGGTTGGCAGGAGCTGGGGCCAGAGACGGGAGCTCACTCCGTCACGCGGCACTAGGGTTCCGAACTGCCAAACTACAGACCGTTCGGTCTGCATAAACTTTTGAGAGTCAAAGTCCCTTTCTTCAGATAGTGAGCGTTGACTCTAGAAAGCTTGTACCCCAAAAATCTTGCTGTTCCCTAAGGTGCTTAGCAGAAACACAAGTAACATCGTGTCTACACAATAAAGAACACTGTTATTTTCATGAAGCGGAAAGCACTCAAATTTAAACTCTATAATTTTAGAGAGGTGTGAACTGATGACCTTGAATCTAGCTATTCATCTGAAAATAGATTGCCTTTTCTTCTCGTTCATTAGCTTCAGAGACGCTTAACCGTAAAGTACATTCTCGCAGAGTGGCCGTCCGTTTAATTTCAATGGGCTTCTGCCGCAAGAGAACATTCTGGTGGGTCGTGCACGCAGGCCATGCATTATTTTCCCAAGCCATGAAAGGAGATGTGTGTTCACGCACAACTCTGATGATTTATTCATCGGTTTTCCACTGCACAGGACGCCCCGAGAATCTTTCTTGATCCGACAAAAGAGTCTGGTTGCTTCGAGGTGGACCAAAACAGATGTGGCGCTTGTACTGTAAACAATGAAAACATGCGCGTGGGAGGGGAAGACAGTATGTTATTGGCAGTGGAGAGAGTTTCTGATGGTACAATAACACATCTAATTTTTTGAGGCCATAATCTGGATGGCCCAGGCTGGCCCCATCTTAAACAGGGTTGGTCCTGGTTAGCATTTGGATGGGAGACCACCAAGGAAGTCCAGGGTTGCTATGCAGAGGCAGGCAGTTACAAACCACCTCTGAACATCTCTTGCCTTGATGATCCAGGCAATGATCCAGTCTCATTAGATGGAGACTAAGCAGGCTTGGCCTTGGTAGTACTTGGATGGGAGACCACCAAGGAAGTCGAGGGTTGCTATGCAGAGGTAGGCCATGGCAAACCACCTCTGGCGTGCATGGGGCTGGTTTCTCAGTGGCCCACTTGCTGCAAGCTTGTCATTACGGCTGCCATGCACTCAGGGGTCATTTCGTAGAAAAAGAGCTAGGGGGACTCATTAGCATAACTCATTAGCATATGCCACACCCCCTGACATCACCGGAAGTGTGTCCTCCCCACAGCCGGCGGCGACCACCAGCGGGCACCAGCAGGGAGCTTCAGGCCCCGCCCTCCCACACCTCACCCGGGGGGATGGCGTCCCCCCGCGTCCCCCCCCCAAATGACCCCTGCATGCACTTATGAATTTTCGGAAACCAGTGGGAGTCCCACAAGCCTTATGAAGACTAACAGCTTAGGGTTGCCAAGTCGCGGCGGGGGATCGTAGGTCTTCACAGAATCCTTGCCGCGGGGACAGCGAGACGCATTGCACCCGCCGTCGCCAGGATCTGACGCTACGCATCGCTCTGGCAACGGGGCTCCAAACAGCGTCTCACCGTCCCCGCGGCAAGGATTCTGCAAAGACATGCAGATCCCCCGCCGCGATTTGGCGAGATTTGGCAGGCTTATAACAGCTTGATAAGGGTATCGACTCGAAACAGGGCTGTCGTGTAGTGCTAACCTTGACATCTTCATGCTCCGAGGGACTTATCTTCAGCTGTTAAAGAAAATGGTTCTTTCTGTTCTTACAGCATAAAGAAGATTGTTGGGTTGGTCCCCTTCAGACTGTATGCAGTCCCGCTTGCAGTGATATATCTTTTAATGTAATGACGCACTTTGTACTTTATTTGGTCTTGACATGATCGCTCATCTTATATCGCTATGAATATTTTTGCAAGACACCAATTTGGTTTATATTCTTCAAGGTTGCTTTTGTATGCTCGGTCCGTTTTAAGGTCACAGCCATTCTATTCTGCACAGCATGTGGACTGCCCTGCTCAGTGGGGGGGGGAATGAGAGGGAATGTTGCCCCTCAATCGTATTGCCACCAGTGTTCCCTCTAAGCTGAGTGAGTGTGAGCCGGGTCACAGTTTCTTAGCCTCCAGCTCACAGATTTTTGCCTTAGCTCAGGAAGGATGGGGCTCCGGAGCAAGCTAATTTATGCAGCAGCCCAATCGCTCGCTCACAACTTTCGTGCCAGCAGCTCACCAGATAGAATTTTTGCTCTCGGGACTCCACAGCTTAGAGGGAGCATTGGTCGCCACGCCTGTTTTAGCTTTGGTCTCTGCCAAGCAGGCATAGCATCCCACCTCCTAAATGACCCCGTCCCCTGCTTCTCTCTTTGTGCAGAGAACGGAACCATCCACAAGATTGTGAATTTAGCAGACGGCCCCATCAATATCCTGGAGATCCAACCTTTCCAAATCCCTGCTGCTATCCAGTCCATGGTTTTGGACAGTACAAAGGTAAGACCCTTTGAGGTCAAATTGGGTTGAGAGAGGTAGCCTGGAAGGGAGGCGGTCAGTCGGTCCATCAGAGCTCCGGGAAACGATTTCCCGCGAGTGCGCGCGAGGACTTGGAAGCACGTGAGGACCAGAGAGGATTGCTTCTCCGTGCTGACGGATGCAATCTGGGCACAGGATTGGTCTTCTCAGAGGTCATTTCGGGGGGGATTGCGGGGGATCGCAGTTCCCCCAGGTGAGGTACGGGGGGCGGGGCACATGATGAAGCCCTGCCCCCTGCTTCCAGCCGCCCCGCTTCCGGCCCTCATTCAGCCAGGAGGAGGCAGGAGAAGAGGGAGGGTAAGTTGCTTCCTCCCTGCCTCTGCCCACCCCTGCCTGCCTGGGGCCAGGGAGGGCCTTCGCGGGGCTTCCTTGCACTCCCGCCGGCCTTGCAGGTCCACCGCCAGGGCCCTCATGGGGCTCGGCAGTGGAGCTGCAAGGCCGGCGGTGGC